CCCCAAAACCCCAAAACCCCAAAACCCCTTCGAGTTCGCTAATATTGACAAGGCTAAATTATTAGAAATTAATGTTTAAAGATACCAGTTAAGCTTTACAAAGTTTTAATTAAAGTTCGAGACAGTCAGGATCAGACTCGAATACTTTTTCATACCATTCCTGCATTATGTTATATATCTCTTGGTACTGAAGCTCTAACTTATTTTCCTTCTTGCCTTTTATATCAGGATCTGATACTCACTTCTGAACGAGATTAGCATTTACATTAGATTCCAGAGAGATTTCATCTTGAAGCTTTTGAACAAGAGTTACATTTTCTTTAGTTGATGAGATTTCAGCAAATTTGTCAAATACTAGATTATCCAAAGAATCACTTTCAGTGGATGAACTTCTACGGTCCTTAACTATATGATTTATCTCAGAATCAGTTTGAGTTCTCGCTTTTTGAAGTGTCTTAGTTTCCTCCTCAATCAAAACTACTTCTTTCTTACCTCTATAAAAGCAAATTAACCTAAAAATCCGCATAATCTCTCTCAAACCCACTTTTCCTTACATTTCTTCCACTTTGCTCTGCTTGTCATCTTTATTCTCTTTACCCTCTCTGATTTCATTATCCTCTTTATCCTGACTCATGTCTTCCTTCTCCTCACTATCCTTATGATTCTCCCTCTCTGTTTGCTTAGCCTTTCTCTTATTCTTATTCCTCTTCCTCTTCTTTTTCTTCTTCGCTTGCTCCTTCTGTTCTTCTTCTAAGTCTCAGTCTTGTTCCTGACCAGTTCCAACTTCCTGAAGGGTCTTAATCTTCTTCTGAAGAATTCTTGTTAATTCCTGTTCTGCTTGTAGTCGGGTTAGCACATTTGACTGTAGACTTTGGATAATATTCAGCTTATTTCTGAAGTTCAGAATTTTTAGATTTTAAAGCAATGTTAGTAGAGTGAACTTTTTCGTAAACTTGCATCATGGGAGCCTTCATGGGGTTTGAAGGGCCGTTGCCTTTGCAGTTGCAGGATTTTTGGGATTTTTGGGTGAAGAGGATTTTATACCTGTAAAGGTTGAGGATTAGGTCTTTTAGAGAGTTGTCAGCGCAGATTTTGTCGACTAGTAGTTTTTCAGACTCGATTTCTTGTTTGTAGCGAGCGAAGTCTTGGGGGATATCTTCAGGGAGTTTAGACTTTGTTCTGAGGGTTGGAGGGTTAGACTCGCCAATAAATGGAGGGTTGCTTTGGAGGTTTGGTTTGTAACTATTCCTTTCATTTGAGTAAAAGCTTATATTCGAAGGGGTATTTGAGTATCCATTTAGATTCTCATACTCTTCTTTCCTCTCTCTTAATAAAGGAGTAGTTTCGTCAGGGATATTCTTCAAAGATTCGTTTCAGTTTCTAACAATAATCTCTATCTGTTTGCGATAAGATTCATTACATCTCTGCATAACTTGAGGAAAGTTGCCAGAAGAATTCAAGCTTGAGCTCGGATATATCTTATTAATCTTATTCTCCTCGAATGAATTGTCAAACTCATCTAAGTCTTCTTCAACATCATCAAGATCATTCTTAGTTTTGCTTAAATTCTTTAAAATTGATGACAATGTTTGATGTTCATATGAATTGGATTTATAGCTCATGTTAGAGAGTTTTATTCAATAAATATAACATTTCACGGGGTTTTGGGGTTTTGGGGTTTTGGGGTTTTGGGG